CGCCTCTATCGTCGTTGTTGTTGTTGCGCGCAATGACCGCAGCAGCCGTAGTAACACCACTGACCAGTCGACAATACCTTCATCAGCNTACTAGTAACCATACTCATTTACATATTCCAAGTAATTATTCATCTATCGTGCCATGCCAGCTTTCAACTTCCGAGAATGGAGTAGACTTCACGTTTATATTCGTTTCGCCATTTTTTGCTGCTCTTTTNCCCCCCCCCCCCCCCCCCCCCCCCCCCCTTCCTCCCCTTTCCGCCGATCCGCTCGCTAATTTCCATACCTGCCAAATGCTAAATCGTATTGACGTGATTCCTGTCTATCGTGATAGTGCTCGAACAGCACTGGCCCCGACCATTTTGAAACCCAATTTCCTTTTTCCAACCTGATCTTTTGATCTTCGCAAGATGCTGAAAGTACAGTCCCATTACTATTGCTCAATATGGTTCTTCCATATTCATGACTGTTTTGTTCCTCGTTGTTTCTTCAGAATCGAAAATCGCGACAGTTCTCCCTTCCTTATTGTCATGATTTATCAATTTCCAACCTCTTATTATATAAAAATACCAAATCTGAAAAATTGGTGTCAGGTTCACATTAAAAAAAGGAAGGGACATATGAGGCAGGCCATATGGTATGGCTTCAGTTTGTGATGCAACGAAGAAAACCCAATTTTTCCGGCCGTTCCTTTCTCTTTGAAATAGTGCTTCTGCGATGATAATATGGAGCTCGTTACTAAACTAGTAGAGTTTTTTGGGAGGTCGGTTCAGGAGACTTTTCAAGGTTACAACAAAAAGGTTCGGGCAATCCACCAATGATCGGGTTTTCCTGTTTGAAACGCATAGGCCACATAATTTGACCATACATTTAAGTTCCTTTTTTCAATTCTACCAAAATTGACCCTTTTGCAGACTCTCTGCTGTTCTTTCTGAGTTTAAGAAAGTAGCATTCGAATTAATGTGGCCCTTCATTCTCACGCTTCACCTACATATCTGCCCACAATGCTTCGGTACTTCTCTGGCCCATTTTCCACGGTGTAAGGGACACAACTTCTGGCATTCCTCGGAAACTTACTTTCTTCCGAGGGAGCTTTCGAGGGCCAAGTGTGTTGCAGCTTCTGCAGTGAAAAGCTGCCGGTTACCAGATTTGCTGTACAGATAGTGTGTATCTTATCATCGAATCGGTTGGTTTGTCATTCACTTAAGCCGATAATAGACGATAGTTCATGGAACTTTGCACTTTTCAATCCTATCTAATAATTGCTCAGTTGTACTGATATTTATTTAAGTTGTTGTTTCGGAGCTTTAACTGATGTGGAGCCTTTTAGTAAGCTCTGTAAGTAGTTGCCAGTTCAGTCATTGGATTCCATTGTCAACTTCTTCAGTTGCAACTCTCTGGATTTTCAGTTCCAGTTACGGTTTTTTCTCACAAATGTAGTCTCTTACGTTCAAATTGCTTTTCCATCCTGGAAGATTCTTTTCCTTACCCATTCTCAAACTTTTTTAAACATTACTCTGGGCTCTCCAGGCTCTCATCTTCACTAGCAGTACAGGGACGTTTGTCTCAGCATCAATAACTTCCGTCTACATCAGAGGCATTAACTCATACCTCACTGCTTTTGAATATGTCAAGATCTAACTCAGCCCTCATTATGAAGAAGAACCTGACGTGCCGATACTGCTTCCCGTTAGGCATTCGATTGGCGTTTTTCTCAGAAGCGTTGGTTGAAAAAGCCTTTGATCATCTTCACTGTAGATGAATTACCGTCATTGTTCCTTTTCCACCGAGAATTGGTGGCGATGAGGTGGACATTGATCCAAAATTATGTGGGAGACAAGTGAACTTATTTTCTGTAGCAAGTGGAGTTAAGCATTGTGAACTCCATCCTCCCTCTATTAATTTATTCCACTATAACAGGAAATGGTTAGTAGGGAATGGCCCATTTGAGAGTATCAAACCAAAAAACCGTACCCTTGTCTCTGAAGGGTTTTTGGTAGGTTTTATAATTACTAACATATTCCATACCATCTTCGTCCTCCGACACATTCATTGAGAATGAGGCTTCTCTTCAAGGGAAATCAATAAGGCGTTTCTGATGAGTTTAAAACACGACCATGTCTTTTGAATTGATGATGCCACCTTTGGTTTTTTCTAGCTTCCAGGCGTCTTTCCTTGGGAATTCCCGCAGAACCGGAAAACATCCCTTCAGCAAAAGAATAATTATTGCCAGAATTATGTACTACGGGGTGTAGAAGGGCTTACTTGAACAAAAGAAAAGAGTTAAGTATCCTGTGGATCTTAGCCTTAGCTGTCGATCGGTCACCGATCATATAGGCCTCAAAAGTGCTTGCTGACAGTCGAATCGGGCCGTCTACTGGTTCTCTCCAAGGGAACACTCGTGAGCCTGGCTGCAGCCTGAAGTGCAAACAACTTCTCCCTTATCGTATCCCCCTTATCAGCAGGATTCTACAAGTGGGCGCCAAGGTTCTGGCGAACGTCGGAGTCTTTGATCTGACAAGTGCTACGTCTTCATAAATTTGAAAGTCCCTTCTATCAGTGATGAGAACCGCGATAGCAACGAGATGTTCCGAACCAAGAAATGTAGGAGGAATTACGGAACTTGCATTTGGTTTTTTCTGCGTGAAAACAGAAAGTGATCGTTTATGAATAATAATTTTCGATGACAACTTGCCAATTCAAACCACTTCGAAACATAAATTGTATCCGGTAATTTAGAATCAGCAATTTCGAGAAAACGGTTCTAAAGTGCCGCCTACTCTAACCTCCCAAAGCAACTGTCGATCTCACTCCACCCTTTGGCGCAGCGACCCTGGCGAAAAGGCGGAAACGAACGCCGCCATCTCTGTACGTACAACATGGTTGTGTACGTGTGTATGTGTTGTTCAGTGGCGCTATCAGCCCATAAGGTCATCGGCGACATTCCGCCGTCGCTTTTATCGCCAGGTGCGACCAAATCTTCGAAAATAACAGCATGGTCTGGCGACGGAGCTGATCGCCGTTCGTTTTCCTTGAAAATTGTGTCATATGGAGAAGTCATCAAACACATCACTTACAATCTTGGTTTTTTTGGGCAGAAACTATGAAGTCAACGGCAAACCTTAGTGTGGCGGGGACTATACTGTGCCCGTCCGGCTTGACCTTTGGATTGTCTTCCCACTCATGGGACATAGACATTCTTCAGTTGTGATTCATCTGATAACTTCCATATCACTTGATCAAACAACGTATTTACGTCTGTGTAGTTGTGCAAGGCATGTTGGGGTGCGGCGTAGGTCGTACAAGCCTCAGTCATCACAGGCAAGCTCTAGTTCTGTATTCTTGAAACCTACTCTGAATGCTGTTCTCCTTGGTTTTGGAGTAATGTCCTGCTAGCTCGTACTGCGAGCTACCATTAATGTTTACCAGTCCATTAATGCACCTAAACGAGTGGCTGTTCATTTTAAACCCCCACTACACCGACGACTGTTGTACTGCTTTGCACTGAAAACGAGCTGAATTACACATTAGTTGGCACAATCCTAGCCTAGAACTACCAGCTTCATTCACTGTAAGATTTCCTTCGTTACATGACAAGACTGATGAGAATCAAAACCATTTCAACTTTCCAAAATCAATGTATAAGCTGAAAACTGCTATTTCCACCTCTTCCTCTTCTCTCTACTAGCCATCACAAGTGATTGTGACGGTCTTCTACACCACTTTCAGATCTTTTCTGATTATACAAAACATCGCTTTTCAAATGTTCACTTTTTCTCGACAACTCGGTCGCATACTTATGAGAGCAAGAAAAATTGTAGCTCTGAGATGGTAAGAGTGTAGTATTACTATCATGACCGAATCAGAACACTGACTGAGGATTGCAAAACAAGCAGACTAACCAAAAAATCAACAAAAAGTAGGACTTGTTGAACGTTCTAATTAGAGGTATCCCTCTAGGGCTCTCGAGGAATTTGATTAATACAATTCCACATTACTTTTTCTTGAATCAATTTGGAAACGACCCAATTTTCATGTCTGAAGAGATATGGTCAAAGTCGAAAATTCCAAATCGTACAGCCTTCTTGCCCACACCTGCTCACAGCCACAGCATTCCAGCTTGTTTGATGTAAATGAATTGGTAGTTATTCGTCGATACATTATCTCTTGCCTGTTCAGGCTATAACTGCGCTAGTTCAATATCCTTGAGTATGATTTCTATGCTGCAGCTCCTCTGTCATAGGTCTAGCCACAGCCATAAACCAGTAAACTGCCAGTTCATTGAGACTCATGTTGAATCCTATTGTTTTTTTGCGGATGAAGCAATACCTCTGAGGTTCATTGCCACTTCCATGTCGTACACTGGTAGTTACCACACTTCTACCCAATCACTGTTTTCATGGGCCTCCCACATTTGACTTCTGTTAGGTCATTGGTGGTTTTTATGATGATTTTATGATCCAGAGAGACCAAGTTATCGTAGCGGATTTTCGAGCTGCTACAGAAGAGCGGCATGCTCCTCCGAATTTCTGGTGTGTGTCGTTGAACCCTAGCCGACCCTATTTCCTGTCCTTTCTACCGTCATTCATCTTGTCGGCTTTCGTGAATTACAGTTTTTATTCAAGCATCTATGAGATTCCTAAATGAAGTTCCTTTGGGAGTTGTTTGAAATCCGCAGAACCGATTTGAACAAAATGGACTCGATAAGAGTAGTGTAGGCAGATTCAGAGAACTTGTAGCATGAGGATCATTCTGCCCAAACGAACTACTGCTCGACTTCCTCGTCCAGGTATACGCATGAGATTTTGGCGTGAAATGAAATCGCAGCTGTCGTTTGTGGTGGCTGCCGAGAGCGATTTCAGGCATACGGGCAATCATCTGGGTGTTCGTCGCTCTCGAACATATGTCAAAGTTTTTCCCAGCCATCTCCTGGCTACAATCGCCACCCCGGAACATTTGCTATAGTTCGCACCTCCTTCGAAGAAGCAGTCTGAACGTCGATGGCTCATCACATGACAATTCGACTGCTTCTGGCCGAATTCGGTCATCCGACTAAGTTGGTAATCGGCGACGAGTTGTTCATGAAAAAACACCCAGGCAGCGGTAAGTTGTTACAGGTCGTTTGCTTCCCTATTTCTTGGGTTTTTTTCGCATTGATCGCGAACTTCCACGTTGAATTCCTGAAACTCGTTCCTGGGGCTTCATCTGATACGTTGCTACTTTTTCTCTGGGGACATTTTCCGCCTCGTTGAAGCCTATTCATGGAATGGCTGCAAGAGCGGCACGCGTGGAATCAGAGCCTCTTGTTCTGATTACTATGCGAAAGTCCATCGAATGCGAAGGCCCTAATGAGATAATCGTTCGGTTGGCTATTGACTTTGAAATATAGCCCGGCATTGGCAAGCTTCCGGGCCCTTTTATTCTTTCGTCATCCAATCTTTCCTTTCAAAAATTTTCAGTTGGCTGGCGAGCTTAAGATTTGAAATGTTTTCTGCGTTGTTCGTTCAGCAGCCCCTTTCAAAAAGAATGCCTCATAGTTACGGTAACTTGGCCGTCAACTATGTTTCCTACCCATTTAAGTGTGGAACCATAGGAGTCGGACAAACGGAGGGCTCTCAAAAACTGCTAGCAATCAGGTTCAAGCTTGATCCATTCATTGTATCCCTCGCCTCTGGCTGGCGGTCAAAGCAAAGCAAATACAAAACCACTTTCGTGAAATGAAAGTATTCATTGTAAACGGTTCTTTGGCCCACCAGAACTTTCGATGCTAACAGTGGTTGCAATCAATTTTCTGCGATTAGCAGCAATTTTCGAGAGACCCGTAGTGGTCAGAGAATTTCATCCATCACATTGCGCTCTCTCCATGTCGCTTGTGGTGCTCCTCTCGCTTGGCCCGGGCGCATTGTTTGCTTTCCATGAGTCCTGACAGTGTCCTGAGTCCGGTCCCCAACATTCCCCCACCAACCCTACTCACCACAATATCTCTCGAAATCCCAACCGTAGATATTTTTCTTCGAGGTAAAGCTATCGTTCCTGTTCAGTGGCCATCGTAACGGATAGTTTTCCTCTCAAACCTGTCCTCAGTTGCTACCTTCAATCTGTAGGGCTTTGTTTTTGATAGCTAAGACGCGGCTCGAAATAGAAAAGTTTTCAGCTGGTGCCATGTCCGTTTGTTCTTCTCGAATATAGATGTAGGAAAAACCTAGTAGTTTTTACATGCGGCTAACATCGTTCCATCTTCCAAACTAAACAAAAAAAACTCATTTCCTTAAATAGTATCATTTATCTCAGCAAAAGATAAAACAATTGAATGCGTACATGTATAGCTTTTCTAGGGGTTTTTCAGTATTCGAATGGGTAAACATTGGAAAATCGAGTTTGACGATAAAAAAGTCCTTTGTGATTTGGCTCCCTCATTCTGTGTGGTTTTATTCGTTCATTTACTTTTCCTATTATCCTGCTGATTTGGAACGATAGATTGGCCTCACCAGTTTCCCTCCTACCATTGCAGTTGCATAAATTCTCTGTTGCTGGCTATTTTTGAAAAATTGGTAGCTATTTAACAAAGGAAAAAAAGAATTTCCATCAATTTGGATAACTCTGTTGGCAGTAGTCGTATCCAAACAAAAAAAAAGTCAAAATAATTAATTCGAATTAAGAATAAACGAATCCGTTCTGCTGAATCAACATTATTTGAAAAAGTATTGAGCACAATTGGGCAGGGAAATACGCTCAGTAAACACCTTCTGGTGCCGAGTTAGATAAGCGGCTGTTGTGGCGCGTGCAGTGTGCCGTCGATAGCTCAGTTGGTAGAGCGGAGGACTGTAGAGTTGGCAGGTATCCTTAGGTCGCTGGTTCGAATCCGGCTCGACGGATCCGTTTTGCATTTTCTCCAAACATTCAGTTTCTTTATGAGAGCAATTCTGGTGAAGGCTGGTAATTCCAAATAAGCGAACAAACAGATCTACTGAGCGTTCTCTTAGTTTATGTCTTGCATAGGATTTGATGTGTGTCGCTCCATTTCCCCTACCTGGTCAGTCGTCAGCCGTTAATTAGACCACCGTCAGACTACGATGGATGAAAGTTGACAAATCCTTGTGTTGTGGTTATATATCAAGACAGTGTCTGTCGTCGAACTTCTTTGGGAACTTTCTCGCCCCCTGGGATAGGCTCCTTCCTGTATGGGATCTCACCCGTACCCACTTGTATTTGTTTATCAGTTATTCAGGAACCAATCTTCTTTCTTCACTGATAAAGAAAATCTTCCATAACACCCCTTTTCAACTCACCAACCGTCAAAATTCTTCCTTACGCTAACCTCATTGAAGCGAAAGCCCGAAAGCATTCTTTTCTTGAACAGACAACTTCATCAATCAAATTCGTGTTTCTATCGTTGTAGTGAAGAACAAATTTTAATTTTGCAAAGAAAACTAACATGAACTGCCACTCATTAAACGCTTTTGAACGGTCACCCATCAAATGCAGCGAATAGTGACCTTTTTCATGTGCTACCAATTTCATCAATTTTGTATTCCTTAATAGTTGTTTTAGCAACTTATTCCTTTTGAGTTGGAGGGGGAGTTTGTACCTGCGTACTAGACGCGTGTAGAACTTTTATATCGGAGCACCATTGTGCTTTCATGTATGAAGGACTAATGTGAGAGGATCCTCGCTTTCAATTACCATACCCCTCTAACCAAGCGGAAAGCAGAAAATGTGAATCGTTGCCATGGCTGTCAAACCAAATATGCAAGAAATTCAACGAACTTTATTTCTCGACGTGGTTTATTGTCTGAAATTCGCCGTTACTCGTTCCGGTTACCGGTAAGCCATACCTGCCCTCTTCGTCTCTTTTTCTCTTAACAATAAATTGTACGATCAAAGACGACATCGTTTCTCGTGGTCGTTTGTAATGAGAATTCCTACAAAACAAGCCATCGTCATCGTTACGACCTGGCTAACCAGACCGCTGGTGGCTGGCTGGCTATGATCGCAGGAAATGCCTATGCTTTCAGCAGTCATATTTGCTTTTCGGCTTTTCGAACCCGTCTCGTCTTTCGATTCCCCATTCTCAGAATTGCATATCGGCTACTGTTCAATGCCACCTATGAATAACTCGAATTTTCTGGAACGTTTTGATGATCTGCCTTTCGAGGGCTTAATTTCATTCTCGTCTCATTCTCGTCTCAGTTTAGTAACTCTTGCAGGTGCTTTATGGTTCCAACTTTTTTTTTACCACCTTCTTTTAGTTCCTTTCCTTTTCAGTGGCGGATGTTCTTATCACATTCGTATAACAAATCATTCGAGCAACTAGACCATCAAACATGACCTTATTAGACAAACGCGGTTGATTTCACTTTCGGAGCGTCCGAGTTTTCTCCCTAAAAACTACCGTCTCCACTGACTAGGGGATCACTAGGTACAACTCTCGTTCCTCCCCTTTCCTCTTCTGATACCCCTCCTTATTTTCCTCATCAGATTTTCGATTTTCGATATTTTCGTTGATGACTTGTGTAAATCGACTCATTGCAGATGTATCCGGTGAAGAACTGAACAAGTTCGTACTACTTCTATTAGGTTGTGCAGTTCAAGGAGATAAGAAGAAGACATTTGTAAGTCGAATCACCAAACTCGAGAAACGCCTTCAGCAAGGCATTGCGAAGGAAATTCAGAAGGTATGCCACTACTCACTTGAATTTTCTGTGAACAGATAGATGTCGCCCATTTTTTCGGCTAAGAAAAACTCCCGCTCTATTTTTTTCTCAGAATAAAATGTTTTTACAAAAATCCGCTCCACGTTAGCGGTAAATATTTCCGAGTGATTAATTTTGCTTTGGAAGCCATTAGTTTTCGTGCTAAACGAGATTTGCTGGCCGTCCCTTGTCCTGATCCCTCCCTTTATCCTTCGAGATTTCTTCAGTCTGAAAAAAAACTGCGAGTTACTTAAGGGGGGAATTCCTAAAACATTCGCCCTATTCGTTATATTTGTGCCGGAATGTCCCTCAGAATCGGTGTTCCAGGCGCCCAGCTACCAGAGTACGGTGAAGAATCTACGAAAAGAATAGATGTTTAGGGGGGGAGGGGGGGGAGAGAGCGGGGTCGGAAGAAATGGATAGTGTGGGGAAGTTGGAGGATAAGAGGATAAAGGATAAAGTTAGGATAAAGTTTTTGGCGTTAATCAATCCCGTCTGAGGGATGCGCCCCCGCACTCGACTTCCATTCAGAATCGTAGTGGCGTAATGAGTGCGTATGTGGCCTATACAATGACTTGCGGTGGCCAGCCGATGTACAAGTCAGTGCTTTTATCCTCCCAGACGAGTCTGGTACCAATTCACCGACCCCGGAGGGATGGAAGGCTTGGTTGGCCTAGGCGGGCATCGATCCGGGATTCGAACCCCTGACCGTGCGTGTGATATAGTGCGCCACTTGCCACTACACCACCTCCGCCACCAGAGGATATAGAAATGAATTAACTAGACAATATTATTGTACAAGTAACACCAACACGGTCCAGAGGCGTAAAGGCTTAATGTTCTGTTCATTTCAGATCACCGAAACTTCATCAGTCGTACTCAGTATTGACTCATTAGCTCGATACGACAGTACGGTTGTAGACCACATTGAGCAGCTCATGGAACAACGAGACGCTTACGCGCAAACCCTCTTTCAGATGGCCGATACGGTACGTCAGAAGAGTTCAATGTTCGTTTGAACCTCTAGATTCCTTAGCAGGATTGTGTGTATTAAGGAAAGTGACGGAGGCGGAAGTTCTACCGAAAGTTCATCAGTCAATGGTGAAATTGAGTTGACCCAGCGACGTATTGAGAAGCGTCCGAGTGAGTTTCCCATGTAGGATCTGATCCTTCTCTCGGGGAACTGGGTGGAATTCCAATATACTTCGAACAGTCGTGGGACGTTTCCTGACTGTCAAACATGAAGGGTTGTGTTACATGCAAATTTCCATCTACTTCCCGATCATAATGAGTTTAGGTCGACGCACACCATCACCGCCCTTTCTCGACAGGCATTCCACTGTCGAGCTGAGCGCAAAAAATGCTGAGCTCCGAAAACTTCGCAAAGAAACGTGAGCATTTTTAAGTTTAACGACGAAAACGGACTTGAACTCGAGTAGAACGGATGGGGAATTTCTGGAAGGAAAACGCCTTCACTGAATAGCTCTGAATGGAGGTGAATTTAAGGAGTTGTCAAGAAAATCCAACAAAAGTACTGTTAGAAGTAACCGAAGAATGAATGAACCGCTGTAAGAGTGACCTAATTCGCCCTCCCTGTTTTGGAGCTTCCCGTAATCGTCAACCAAAGCAACCCTGAAGTCAATGTGCTGTGTCAATAGATAAACAAATGAAATGTAAACTTTGAAGTCGATCGCCTACAGGAGCAACTAGCTAGAACTGAAGTACTGGGGCTTCTGGCTAGAAATGGTCTCCCCTTTAAGGCTGTTCAGGGAGACGGCAAACGCCGAAGTCCATTCGAAATCTAGTCAGTGTAAAATGTAAAAATGAAACAATTAGTTGATTTCAAATAGATTCCTGGTGCTTACTTGTGAAAATGGACTCTCAAAATCCTAAACAGTTGTTTTCAGAGAGGATAAGGATGACCGAATTAACGAACTCTCAGACGAATTAGAAGCGGTGGAAACTGAAGTGAGCTAACATCAACCCACGAGTATTTCGGAACTTCACCGGCTTAGATGGATTGCTTTCATATTTTAGGTACGAAAACTGAAAGACGAACGAATAGAACTCATAAAAGATGCACGGGCAGCAAAGGACCTGCGAGATGAGCTGGATTGCGTCCAACAGAAGGTTCAACCAATTCTATTCTACGTCACACCTGTTTGTTCTCAAATTCCTTCTTAAGCTTGATCGACTGGAGAAGCTCGAACGTGAAAATTCTCATTTGCATGAAAAACTGGCCAAGTTGGAATATGTTCAGTCACAATTGGAGGTAAGTTGGATTGGCAAGGTTTGAAAGGTCCAAATAGGTTCATTGAGTTGAAGTCCCTCCGTAAAGCAAAGAGGTGAGGCTTAAACGATCGTTACAGTCCATACGGAGTCATACATTCGAGACGAACAAGAGGAGGAGGGATGGATAGTAAAGTTGACAGCCAAATGTGATCATTTATTAGATTCAGAGCAAGATTTGTATGAGAATGAAGCCATGAGCTGGAGGAAGATCTTTTGTAGTTCCTTGCCCAAAACATATTTTGCGATTAGCTCGCTAGAAGACTAGTAAAAAAGAAAAGCCGAGCGAAAAGAAAACTTTTTCAAGGAAAATTTCTTTCTTGCCTAAATAATTGCAGAAAGAAAGTGGCAGTGTGACATATAATTCGTGTTATCCATCAGTTTTTTGTCCATACGACTCTTTTCCGCTTTTTTGATACGATTCTTCTCTGCCAATAGAGTTGACCCGCTCTAACCCACGCTTTACCTACAACTGCATGAACACTGTCGATTCCGGATGAGTAGGACCTTTGGGTGTTGCCTTATGCTGCCTTTTGGACAGTTGATCTTATCTTCCTCGTTCCTCACTGTCTCCTTTTGAGCATCAACGAGCCGACAATGCCACTCTCGAGATGTCAATTGAACAGCTTGAAAACGAGCTCGAGTTTCTTCGTCAAGAGAAAAAGGTCAGCTTATCACTTTCATTGGTTGACGTTGTTCGCCAATTTCTCCACCCAATATCACTTGATAACGAGAACATTTTTACTGAAGATACTTCTCTAATTGACAGTCTATTTGTTACTCATCTTTTGGCAAACCGGATTCCTTGTCAAGAACATTACTCGAATGATAAATTAGCAGAGAAATCATTGATTTGGCCATTTTTCGTTCTGAAAACTATCATGAAACTCCCCTCCCTTGACTGCATATCACGATAAAACACTGTATTGCAGAATCAGAACGAGACCCAGACCCGTTTGACCGAGGCTCAGCAAAGCATACGAGGTTTACAAACGGACATCGGCTTGGTGAGTAATATGTTTTCTGCTGAAGACCAGTTGTTTTCAAGCTTAAATCCGACATTCTTTTTAGAAGAACACAAAAATCGAAGAGCTTCTAGTGGAACAGTCACGGTTAGAAAACGAACTGATGCTGGTGAATACGAAAATGCTGGAAATGGAAAGGTAACATCACTCGAACTTTTACATTGAATCCGATACCCTGGTGGCATTCATTCCATATCCATTCGCATCAGTGAAATGGGCTTTTGTGTGAGGTTTCGCCCTCTTAGTTATGGAATCAAGATTTGGATCACCACGCTCGAGATACACCACGTATCTCTCCAACTCCCGTAGTGGATGAGCTAATTGGAACCTCATGATAAACCAACCTTTTGCTACCTTCCAAAACGTTTACAGCCGAGGAATTGTGGGCAGCCAGCTCAGCGGAAACAATGCCTCAAAAATGACCCACTGTTCTGGGCAGGCATCAAGCCATTTGATGCGAGTTCAATAGCAGCACATGTTCTTAATATTCCACCCCTGCTATGGACCGTTTGTCCTTTCTTATCAGTCAGCATGACACATAAAGGTGTAAAAGGTGTAATTTGATGAAAAACCTTATTAACTGGGTCAAATCAGTCATAGTTTTTCGTTTACGAATTGGTGTTGTTTCATCCGTCATCACAAGGCCATACAGAAATTTGCGTTAAACGCACTTCGCCCGCATCCATTTTCATAACACGTTCCTCAGAAGCGTAATTCATTATGCACCAAGAAAACTCGTCCTCCGCACTNCTTATTAACTGGGTCAAATCAGTCTTAGTTTTTCGTTTACGAATTGGTGTTGTTTCATCAGTCATCACAAGGCCATACAGAAAGTTGCGTTAAACGCACTTCGCCCGCATCCATTTTCATAACACGTTCCTCAGAAGCGTAATTCATTATGCACCAAGAAAACTCGTCCTCCGCACTCCGAACTCCGCCTTTTTTCCACGTTTTTCCATCGCTTTGATTCTCTTACCACTGCCTTCTGCTGCCACCCAACCAAGCAAAGTAATAAGAGTAATCTTCCAAGCAGCAAAGCTGTCAGCGAGCAGAGAAAAATCGATACCCATTGCAATATCAAAGATATTGGCGTTGATCATCCAGGATGCGCCCCGCATTCGACTTATTTCCAAACTGGTGGTGGCGTTTCGAAAGCGTATGAAACTTATATAATGAGTCGCAGAGGCCAGCCGATACACAAAGCAGTGCTTTCACCCTCTCTGATCAGTCTGGTTATCAATACGAGACTTGATCCCCAGATCATGCGTGGGGTGGTGTGTTGCTTGGCACCACAACCCCAACACCACCCAAAAACCACAGTAAATCTCAAATGCTACCCCGGGTGATTAGAGGATGCTTACATAGTGGTGTCATTCCCAGAATCATTCTCTACAACGGCGCCCAACGGTTATTCAGTGTTCAGCTATCTATTTACTTTAACGTTTGCATTCAGCTTTTTTTGATCATTTGACATTTTAGACGCATGGACTGCTCCAGTAATGCGCCACAAGAGAGTTTTGGTTCGTTGGCCGACGAAATGGCCGACAGTGAAAAGAGCGAGATGATGCAGTTACGTTTGGAGAATCGAAAACTCCGATCCCATCTCGAATCCACAGAAAAGTGCGTCTACGAACTGCCCACTGTTCTGGCCATCTGTAAATGCTACGTTTGCAGTTCAACAGTATCATCAGCTGAGCTGGAACAGCTAAAGAGTGAGATGGAGCAACGGGAAAGGGTCTTTGCTGAGACGAGAGCTGAGAATGAGCTCATGCAGCGACAACTCCATACGGCTGAGTCCACGGTGACGCAACTCAATCAAGAAATCCTACAGGTAAGTATGTTTCTTGAAGATTCGGCCAAACAATAAAATTCTGTCCTCAGGCGACCACCGAACGCGAGAAGCTACGGGCCGAACGTGACGAATCTGTGATGTCGCTCATCGATGCTAGGAAGAAATTCGCACAGTTCCAGACAGAATTTGGTCGGAAGTTCGAGCAGGAAGCTCAGACTAAGGTGGGTAGTTAGCTTTATGCGCAAATCAGGCTAATATTTTTTCTGAAACCATCAGTCGACCCCCTTCTAGAAAAGTGTCGGAAATTTTTCATGTTTTCAGTCAAGAATCTTAACATTCTGTGAGTGTTTAGGTGATGGAAATCGAGGCAGAACTGCAGGAACTAAGACGAAAATTGAGCTGCGTAACAGAAGAGCGAAAGCAGACGGAAAAGCAACTGCAGCGTGTCTGTGAAGAGCAGAAGTCCCTTCGAGTGACTGTCGATGAACTCAGAGAGGAAAAGGAAAATGCAGAAACTCTGAGTGCAAATAATGAACGGGCACGGCGTAATGCCGAAGCAGAAAGGAACTCGTTGAAGGTGAGTGGTGTTGGAAAGAGTGCGTTCTGTGGAAGAACTCCATGATTCTCAGGCCCGACTCGAAGCCTTGGATGCTGAATGTGAAGAGTTGCGGGAGCGAGCCCGATGCGCAGAAGACGCCTCTCGACGACTGGCCGCCTGCGAACGTCGTCTGGCCGAGCAACAAACGCGCATAGGTGATTTGGAAGCCGAAAATCGCACACTTCAGCAGCAGGTTTGTTACTATAGTCATTCCATCAACTCTGAACTGCCATAGACAAGGAAAGCTGTGCTGTCATACAGATTTTCAGCTTAAGACAGGCCTGAGATCCAATTTTCAACTTATTCTATGAGTTCATCATGACTCCATGTTCGTTCGAAAAAGTCGGTGAATTTCAGATGGAGCTTGAATCCCAGAAGACTCAACGCCTTCGAGAAGATCTTGTCACGGAAAAATCGAAGGGGGCGGAGCTGGTGGGCAGGTTACGAAGCGTATGCGCTGCGATTGCACTCAATGGCGGAAAAATAGATGTGGAAATGGATGACCACCAGGTATATCCCATGTAGGCGAACTTGGCGAGATTCTCAGAAATTGGATCGTTTGTAGCTGATCGATTCGATCGATAACGTCATCATGGGAGCGCTAAACGCCGCAAAACGTGAGGCGGATGCTCTGAGGTTGCAGCAGCACACGCAGATCGCTGAATTGAACGATTTGAAGAGCGATATCGAGAAATTAAGGTGATCGCTGTTAATTTATTCAGCTGTTAGGTCGTGAACCTGTCCAGAAGCTAGAATTCCACCCACTACAAAAGTTCCGGCCCAAGGTAACTTCTTTCCCTAAGAATTTTTAGAATGACTGAGCGAGGCCAAAAACTGAACTGCTTAGCGCAAGATTGCTGCTAAAAGATTGATTAAGGCCGATCGTTTTTTCGATTCGGTCCAGGAAGTACGAGAGCACTAACTGAAGACTTCTGAATTGATTTATCTATCTTTTTGAAGTTCAGATTCCATCTAGCATGGTTTCATGCATTGCCTCACCCAAAAGCCAGAGTCTTATCTGTTCCTGGAAAATGCGGATCTGTAGCTTATCCGAAGTAGTTTTATCTGGAAATGAAATAGTTTGTCCACTGCCTGCAAGTAATTCTAACAAAGGGATCCTTTCTTTCATGCTCTTCAATTCGCTACTAAGAAACTACGGTTAGGTGATAGGTCAGCCATGGAAGCCACTCAGTGATTTTCCGATTCTTTCACTCATGCAATTACAGTCGAGTGGGTATCGAGTTTCAGAGTCTAGCCGCATAGCTCACGTGCTAGTTATCGCCTTGAACTTTAAAAAAAAGTTTAAAGAGAGATGAAGGCGACGAGGGAGAAAAGGGGAGTTGGGAGAACAACAAAAGGCAACGCAAGAATCGCACTATATGCCAATGCCTAGCCTTAAAAACCCTATAACTCTCCACCCTCTTCCCGATTTCCTTCTCCCCTGTAGTAATAGCGGTGGTTCAGTTCGGGG